AAATATCTCTCATAATATTTTTTTTTCCCTAACCAAACTTAATATAGTTTTTATTCAAATATGTCAAAATAAATCAATATAATATTGTATTAATCAATACTAATAATTGAAGTTAATGATCTTTATTAATACAAATCTTATGCTTAGAATTAAGAACTCTATATTTACCTTCAGTTTTGCATTTTATATTTAGGTCATATTTGTCATCCTTTAAAAAATTAAAGTCATGTTTGGCACAAATTAAAGCTGATTTTAATTTCAAGTCAAAGTCAACAATTAATTTTAACCACACATTTCATGAGACCCACAATTTTTCAACCACACATTCCATCAATTTTTTTAAATCAAAATCTACTAAAAATTTGATTTTAATATACAACAAACAGGGGCTAAATTGTTTGCTAAATTATCATTTCTCCACCACACATTCGCAAAATAAAATATTTTACACATAAATCAATAAAGTTTCCCTATTTTTTAACCACACATTCTCCAAAAAATAATATTCCATAACTCATTATTCCGAAATAAATTCTGTCAAACAGGCACTCAATAACTTGTCCACACAACATCGTGATCTAATGACGATAATATCCGTTGATTAGTCGATAAAAAATTATTAAGGTAACAATCAAATAATAATAAATTATCCCCACCCCCACCCCCACCCCCATGGTAAATAGGATATAGAACATGGTCTCAGTCTCGATCTTTTTATATTATTTTTAATTTAAATTGTAATGAGAATATTTTAATTTCGTCCACGTCGTGTCTTGCCTGCCAAAAATCCCTAACGGAGTGGGACCACTCCATTCCGGTTCCATACCTATTTAGGACCAATCATAGTGGTGTCAAAATGGGGTCGATGGGTAGCCCAGGCTTCCGAGACCAAAACCATTGAAAACCAGACTGCAACAAGCCCAGCCTGTTGAATTTGTGGGTTGGTCCACCAATTATGACGGGCCGCATTGAATTGAATTTTCATCCCAGCAACCACGAGAGTAAGCTAGTTGGCTCGATTAATTGGAAAAAAGCTGTCTTGTTACTAAAAAAATCTACTTGTAAAGTGACTTTTTTATATTTTTCACGAACACTTTTGCTATATAATTTGCAAATATGCCAATAAAAATGTTTAAAATTTTCAATTATAGATCAAAAAGATGCGTTGACTCAATGTGATCTGTGTACTTACAAGGTCGACGAGTTTACTGTCCCTTCATTAAAGATTGCGAAGACAATTCGATATAGGTGTAGACCATTTATTTAGGCTTCGTCTGGGAGGGATTCACCCTTTTTCCATAGAATTGATTATTATACCGTTTTTGTTGACTTTCTCTCACAAACCATACCAGCCGCAATTGTGGAAAATGGACCGTTGATGGCTTCAACGGTCAAAAAATGCATTTTAATCCAGTTTTAATTGTGCCCAGACAGGGCCTTAGTTTATCTGATTTAGACTCACTATGGATCTATGTGGGGCTTACATGCATAGGAGTCTACGAGAGTCTACTTGCCTATTTTGACACCTATAATCAACTAGTCGCGTCTTATGTTTCGAAAATAGTTGAATTTCCATAGATATAGAGCTAACGAATATGATAAAGAAGGCCAAAAGAAGTGCAATCTTGGTGTAACAATATTGAGCTAGCCCACCAATTGATGAGAACCAGCCCTCATAATCATATACACGCATATATGTAATATGCATAGTTGGTTCATTTTTTCGGCACTTGAAGGTACCGTAAGAAGTTCAAGAATAATTTAAGATCCTATAGAGGGAACAATATTAATATTAAAAATATAATTAATTATGTTGTTTAGTATTGTACACCAAACTATATAGTTTCACACAATCTTCGTATGTGTAGCCTAGTTCAAGTACTTGCCATTTAAATAAAGAGGATTTTGCATAGATGTTCCCATGGGCAAAAAATTGTCCTTTTTTTTTTTTTTGAAAAGATGCTCAATAATTATTTTTCTGTGTGCAAAATGTCATAATTACCCTTCTAATGATGTATTTGTATGCATTTATTGCTCAATTAATGCTATGATATGATGCTTAATGATAAATATGTTTTGCACACTTAGTCCTCGTTTGGCCCCCATTAAATTTATAATACATTTTTCTCCATCTTCTTTTTAACCACGCTTTCTCTAGTAAAATAATATTATACATAAATCAAAAGTTTTTCGTTACTTTTTCAACCACATATTATCCAAAAAAATATTGTTCCAAAAATTATAACATCAAATAATGGTGGCCAAACAGGGGCTTATTTAATACCTAAATTTTCTAATTATTGATTAAATTGAGCACATTTCGATCACAACTGTGTAATATGCCTTTTTAGGCAAAAATCACCATTTGAAAGGGAACAAACACAAAGGAAGAGAAAAGGGACCAAAATATGCAAAAACATGAAGTTGGGACCAAATTGCAAAATGACAGATAGCTGAAGGACTTGAATTTTCAATTTATGAAGGGCATAATAGAAAGAAAAGTCAAAAATAGATGAAAAATTGTACAATATCATAGTTGAAGGACCAAGTGTACAAATATCTAGAGGACTTGTATGCACAGAGAGAGAGAGAGACCAATGGTTTGGTTTTGGCAAAGAGTTGGCGCATAGGCACCATTTTTAATTAAAAAAACAATTTGGGACCGTTTTTAATGTTTTTACAAAACCACCCAGGGACTTGACTGCAGATATTCTAGGTTTTAAATCTTAAAACCGGCAGCCTGGGTTTCACGGGTTACCTTCCTTCTTAACACAGAAAGGGACACCGTACGGCAGTAGTCTGCTCCGCTAAACTACCTTCCGCCTTTTCTCGGTCATTCCGGGACTAAAGTAAATTTGATCACAGTTTAAAGAAAGCTTACAACACAAAGTTGAAATGCATTGAATTAAACTTGATCATTGATTGCTAGAAAGCTTGAAATTACAATTGATTGAAAGCAGGAAATTACAATGGCTAATGCAGGGGGCGAACACTAGAAAGCTTGAAAGATTTTTGAAAAACTAATACCCCCTATAATAGACTTAGCAACAAAAATCCAAATGACACCAGTTGACGTCTTTTGGCCGAGGAATCATACTAAAATTTTCTAATTATCAACTATTTTACAATTAAATGAAATATTTACAATGTACCACCGACTTGCAATGGCTGCGATAGCGTCA